ATTGAAATGATTTTATATTAATTCATAATATAATTAATTTAAAAATTTAAATATTTTATGTTTAAAAAATTTAAATATTGAAAAATTATAATTTTATTAAAAATTTAATTAAATAATAAAATTAACAAAATAAAAATATTTTTGCATAATAAAATTAAAAAAATTATATATATAAATTTATTTTTTTATATATATGTAAATATTTAAAAAATAATAAAACAATAAAAAAGTATATAAATATATATATATATATTTATTTATATATATATATATATATATTTATTTATATATACATATATATGTTTATTATATTTTTTAAATTTACTATTTTAAATTTTTTTATTATAATCCTATACTATTTTTTATTAATTTTACAATAAATCATCAATTTAATCAACTTATTGCTAATAAATTTATAAGTAATTTAATAAAAAGAGAAATATTAATAAATTTTTAATAATATATATAAAAATAAGTAACTAAAAAAAAATTGAATTGTTATATTATTTTATTATATATATAGAAACTTTCTATTAAAATTATAAATAAGTATATACTAAATAATATATAAGTATTAGCAAGTATTTTTAAGATAGTTTATAAAATATTAAATAGAATAGAATCAACATTAACAAAATAATATATTTTATAGAATAAAAAATACTTAAATTAATTCATATAAACTTATAAATCCCCTTTTTTTTGAAAATTATTATATATAATAGATTTATTATATTAAATATAAATAGAAATTTTATTATATTAAAACTAAAGAACTGTTTTTAGTAAATAGATTTCATTCAATTTTTATCACAATTATTATTCTAATTTATTATTTTTTTAAAAAATTATTAAATACTTTAATTAATTTTGGATTTTTTCATATTTTTAGTCATTTTATATATTTATACCTATTTATTTATTATTTTTACAATCAATAAAAACTAACATAATGTTTTTTCTTTTAACTAAAGTATTTTTTTAAGGTTTATCCAAACATTATCCGGGTTTTTAATTTTATAATAATCGTGTTTTGAGGTTATATGTCATATTGTTTATTGTTTTATTTCAAGCTAACTTTAACTTATTTTTAAGAAGATAATTTACTAATTTTATTAAATAAACGAATCTATATTATCATTTTTTATCAGTTATTCATTTCCTTTTTATTAATTTTCAGTTATTGTCCTATTATTATTATTTTCTATTTGTTAAGATTAAATATTTATAGGTATTAGTTTTTATATTTTCAGTTATAATTTTTCAGATTATTTATATTTTGAGTTAAAACATAATAAATTAAAAGATTATGTATCAATTTCATTTTCATTAAAATGCTTTAATATTCTAATTAATATACGATTTGGCTTTAAAATTACTAATTACTCTAAAAATTCATTTGTTTTAAATTCAGCCTAGAATAGAAAATAGTATTATAAATATATTATTTTTTAAAAATAAAATGAATAAATAAAGTACAAAATTAAATATTTATTATATCTAAAAAGATATATAATAATTTTTCATATGAATTCGTTTATATCTTTATTTTTAAATTTTATAAATATAAATAATTTTTTTCTTTTATATTATAGAAATAATTTAATAAATATATTATTTTATTTTTTTATTATTATATAAAAATTAAAAATATTATATATATTGATTAATACATAAAAATATTGTAATTACTTTATTATTAATAATTTTTATTATCTATTTATAATTTTATATTTAAATGTAATAAATTAAAAATATCCTAAACTTACATTTAGAAGGTTTTCAGCAAAAAAAGTTATTGTTTTAGTAATTTGAAAAAAAATATTAATGAATAAAATTATAATATAATATTAAATAGATTATTTTTTATTCTAATACCATATATTTTATTTTTGATTATAAAAAAATATAATTTTTCATTATTTTAGTCAAAATATATTTTTTAGTGATAATTTATATTTTTAATTAAATAAATATTTTTTAATACAGATTAAATTAAAGATAATAAAGGTAACTTTTATTTTTAGTACATATGCAATTTTATTCAGCAGAATAACAAATTTTCAGTTATATTGTAGATTTTCGTTTGGCAGTAAACTTAATTTATCTAACATATATTATGCAGATTTTAACACGAGAATTCTATTAATTTAAAAAACAGAATGCAAATATAAATAATAAAAAATAAAATAAACTCGCAAAAAAAAAAATATATATACATATATATAATTTTATTTATAATATATTTACATTAAAAAAAAATTTATTTAATTTATCAAAAGAAATCTTGTTTATTTAATACAAAAATAAAATCGAATTATTATTTATTAAATTATAAATTATAGATTTAAAATATAAAAATATATAAAAAATAATAAATATATATAAACATAAATAATATAAACATATTTATATATATATTATATATACATTTAATAATATATATTATGTATTATTTATATATTTATTATTATTTTACTTTATATATTTTTATTTAATATAATTATAAATAAAAAATTATACACATTATTTAATTTTTTTTTTTTTTAATTTAATAATACAATTTAATAAAATATATTTAATAAAAATAAAATAAAATTAATATATTTTATTTTTATATTAATTATTAAAATAATTTTCATATATAACAATTTTTTTAAAATATTAAATTTTTATATTTAAAATATATAATATTAAATATTAACAAAAATAGATTAAAAATAATACAATAATTATTAAAATATTTTTTAAATATACAATTATATAATATTATAATTATAAAATAAATAAAAATGATTAAAAAATATCATATTTTTTTAAATGTATATATAATAATTATAATATATATATTAACTTTTATAAAAAATGGCTTATTTTAATTATTTTTGAAAATAAAAAATCATTTAATCTTATATACAGTAATCTTATTTTAAAATTCATTTTAAAAAAATAAATATAAAATTAAATATACTAAGAAATAAATTAAAGGATTTCTGCAAAAAAATTATTATTAACATAATTACTGCGTTTTGTAAAAAAAATATTGATGTATATATATATATGAATAAAAAAAATTATTTAATGGATTTTAATCTTAAAAGTTATATAAATTAAATATTTTATAATAAAATTTTAATTTTTTTAAGATTATTTATAATATGTAATTAAGTAAATATTATATATTATATTTAACAAAAAAGGTATATATTATTTTAATACTTATAAATAAATATAATTTTTATTTATATTTTGATATATAAAAATTATTATAAAAATATAATTAAATAAAATATCATATTAAAATATATTAATATATATTAAACAAATCATCTATTAATGATAGTAATAATTTTAATTTAATACATATTAATATAAAAACAAAAAAAATAATAAATATTTATTAAATCTGAATATAAAATATTCTTATAATTAAATATTTTATGAAATAAATTAACATTAATTCTTTAATATGTATAAATTTTTATAATATAATAGTAATAAATTTAAAAAATAATAAATTAATAAAATTAAGACTATATAAATATTAAAATAAGTTCATACCTTTATATTAAATATAAATTTGATAAACTAGTAAATATTATTAGTTCAAATTATAATATATTTAAAAATTATAAAAGAAATAAAATTAAAATATTAATATAATTAAATAAAAAGTCGAAATTATTAATAATTTTTAAAAATAAAAACATTTATATATTAAAATTAATAAAAATTAATAAATAGAAAAATATTTTTATATAAAAAATTAAAAAAATAGCAAATAATAATAAGGTTATCAATACTAATATTTTTTTTTTATATATATTCATAAAATAATTTTCAAAATTTAAAATAATTAATAACTTGATTTATATCTAATAGCATTTTATATTTATTTTATTAGAAAATAATTAAATAATTACTCAATATTTTATAAATGCAGATATTATTTAATAGATAAATATAAAAAAAAATAACAATATTTTTGAATTAATATAATAAAATATAATAAAAAAAAAAAAATATTATATAAATAAATAAAATAAAATAAAAAAAATAAAATATTTAATTTATATTATTTTTAATTTTTATTGTAAATATATTAAATTGTTATTAATAAAATAAAAATAAATTATTTTGATTTATGATATGTATTGTATAAAAAATTAAAATATTTCAATATTAAATTTATTAATTATTTTATAAAATTAATCTAGATATAAATTTAAAAATATTATATGAAATTTTATAATATATATATATATATATATATATATATATATATATATATATATATATATATATATATATATATAAATAATTATATATTCACACATAACTAAGTGGTTAATTAGTGTTTATATATAATATTTATAATAAAAATTTAATATAAAATATTTTTTTATATTTTATATA